GTGACGTATAGAGAAGATTTTACGCTAGAAAAAGAAAGATTTTCAAGCTTCGAACGTCTACTTTCTAAAAAGATGATAGTATTTCGGAAACAAATGCAGCAAAAAGTGTAAGAAATAGCTTGAAATGGTCGTTTTTTGCTTCACTCATTTTTGAAATACTATCATCTTTTTAGAAAGTAGACGTTCGAAGCTTGAAAATCTTTCTTTTTCTAGCGTAAAATCTTCTCTATACGTCACACATCTGAAAAAAGCAATCCCGATTACACCTTAGTTTGTATAGCGGAAAATGTGTACGAAAGCAACATTTTTCAGGCATTTTAAGCTAATTTTGCTTGAACACTAAAATCTAGTTTTAAATCCAAACGTAAACCAATTAAAAAAGTTGTTTTTTTTGAAACTATTCAGAATGAGTTCCTCTATCTATCTGTATCATTTTCGGATCAAAACAATGTTTCTCTCAAATAGGAAAAAGAAAATACTGCTTTGTTCTTATAATTTTGACCAGGCAAAAAACCATGATTTTTACTAAACTTGCAGTATCTCGAGTTTAACATTCGAAACAAGGAAATCAAACGTCAGTTTTGGATAGACCGCATCTCATTGCAACTAGGAAAAATGTAAATGAAAGTAAAACGAATATACTAAAAAAGTGTCTGTTCTTATAATTTTGCACACTACTGTATATTAATCAAGTCACAAATAATGATATTCATTATTTTTCAAAATTATAACTGAATCAATTTTCCAAAAAGAAACTCGAAAAAATTTAACATCTTTTATTATTGATTGTGAAGGTGTATAATGAGGGGGGGGACGGAGTGTTTGTAATGGGGGCTTCCGTTGCTATGGTGTCTGTAAGGGGAGGGGAGGGGAGCCTCCAAACCTTGAACTTAAAACTTACACTCACTATTTTCTTCGAAAATATACGTGAGTTCCACAAAATATTAATTGCTCACCATTATAAAATATATACAAATAATCTTGAAAAATTATTCTTCCTAAATCAATACAAAACCAGGAATACTATTGCCTGATTTTGTTCAAAAATAATTTTTAAACCATATACGTGATCAAGTGTAAAATACATTCATTTTCAGACCGCTTAATAATATACAATGCTTGTGTTCGCATTTTCGATATAAAACTCAAGAAATTATTCTAATTTTGTCAATTTCATGATGAGCTCAATAGAAATTTGTCTGTGTAACACTTCAAAAATGTGTTGCGCAATAACTTATGCCTATTTCAAAATAATGGCGTGGATGTGATCTTGGAGTGTGAGAATAGTTTCTTTTTCATCCATACAACTGATATCTTATACATTCAACAACTTCATCCGACGCCCACACTCATGAAATACGCATCAGACTGTCAGTGATATGCCTATGCTCACTGATTCAAGAGCGAATGTGATTAACATCGTCTTCGTACTGATTGATCTAGAAGCTTTCTTAAAGAATTAAGCAGACGAGAAAAATGTTTTAATGGTTAGAAAAAGGAAGAAAAGTTTTTAAATTGTTTAATGTACTTTTAAATCGAATGATAGAAAATTCGACGACATTGTCTGCTGCTATACGTGTACAACCGATGCAATTTATTGGGCAGTAGAACCATAATCCGGTGGGGGATCTTCAATATGAATAGGTTTGTCTGGATCTGTAGAAACAGAATTAGATAAAATCTTGGTTGCTTCATTTTGATGATGCTGATTAGTATTCTTATTGCATTCAGTTCCGAGTGTCATGGGCACACTAACATCGAAATTTGTAAACATACCTTCGGCATGAACCTTGACTTCTAGAAAATAATCAACGTGTACGCTAACGTTGTCACGAAATCCGCCCACAAAGTGACATGACGGAGCAAATTGTTGAAAAGGAAGAGCTATGGCAAAATCTTCGTTTATATGCGCATTGTTCGTATTAACTACTCCAGGTAAAATTGTTTCAAGGATCATTTGTTTTTCGGTATTGCTCTCCACTTGATAATTTTGAAACAAAGCTACATGAATTTTTTTCAATACAATTTGTTGTGGATTTTCTATTTCTAAAGTTCCAGTTATCGTTTCACCAGGTACATAGCCAAGTTTGTTTAGATGTCCCCTGAGAGCAACATCTTTTCGATTATGATTGCTAAAAGTAGATTCCATCGAATACTGTGGATTGTTCGATAGTATAACAGACGGAAAAACAGTCACATAGAGGGTTTTGTCTATGTTTGGTTGGTACCAAGGTCTATCGATAACAAATTTTAAGTAATATCGAACATACGGAAATTGACTTGACTGACTGAGTGAAGGTGGAAGTTGAGAAGGTAATTTAATATCGAATCGCCATGAATGTTGTCCACGAGGATAAACCAATTCGCTTTGCCCTGGTTTTGGGCTTTCAATGACTTGTTTTTCTGAAAGAAAGGTAACATTACGGCGATCGGTTTGCGTACGGTTTAAATAGTTTGACTGTTGCATCATATGAGGTGTTGTGCAATTGGTGTTCATGTATCTTGGATCGTATGGCTCGTTAATAAAACCGGTTGGTGGGCAATTGGTGTGCATATGCATTGAATGGTTTGGCTCGTGCATAAAACCGGTTCTTGTGCAATCGGTGTGCGCGTATCTTGGATCGCACGGCTGTTGAATAATACGAGTTATTATGTAACCGGCTTCACCTGTCAATTGCATAAATATTCCTTTGACTTTGATCTGATCGTCAGTGATATTTGCATCGACGGTTCCTGATATCGAGTCACCCGCATAAAAGTATGGATCCGATCGATCAAATTTAATGGAAATATTAGAACTGTTGCCTGCACCCATTTCTCGTCGAATATTTATCTAAAACCCGTTCATGAAAATGGAAAAAAATAGTCAGGTAGCAACAACGTGATCCTCAGTTCTGGACACATGTCAACTTTACAAATTGAATTCAACTACCCAACTATTGGTGCCGTAAAAAAACAGATCTACGCAACAAGTAATTGAGGACTTATCAACCTTTTATTTATTTCATAACCTAAAGAAGCGCTTTTCCCTGCTTCACTGACTATTTTTTTTATTCAAAGAAATGTGCTCACTCTTACTTTGAAGAGTGTAGCTGATCATAATAGCTGTGACTTATCAGAAGCTTCTTTGTAACGATTTTCGACAAGAGAAAGATTGTATAGACCAATGTACTTTATTTCTTTATGTTCTAATCGCATAAACTAATTAATATATGGAAAAACACGTGTTTATATATCATTTACGAAAGAGCGAGAGAAAGAAGGAGATACAAAGAGAAAAAAAACAAGCAGGGTTAAGATAAAGAGAGATAGGTGTATCAACGTCAAGGGAAAAAAGTGGATTCCCTGTATCTCGGATACGATGGGAAATCCACATTATATACCATAGATAGTATGACACGGATGTCGATTCAGTACTGATTAAGATATGCCATCGATATCCATGAGTTTAAATAGTTTTTTTTTCATATGTTCAAGCGGACTACATTGCTTTATGCGATATGAGGAACTTAAGGGGACCCCCCCCCCTTTCCGGCGTTTCTGAGAAACGGCCGAACGAAAATTCCTGAAACTTGCAGGGTAGATAGACCTCGAGTAGTAGAGCAAAA